ATTTATATTTGCCTATATATTTGGCATATGGGCTCCATATGGGTAAACCATGGGCAAGCCCCATATGTGATTGCCCAGACGGATCCCATAAGGGAAAAATATGGGGTAGCCCATAAGACTTTTCCCAGATATTTTGCATATGGGCCCCATGTGGGATTGTTACCTGGGATTTGTTTAAAATTCAACGACAACAAAAAACTAGGAGTTGGTATGAGGACGGTGAGAAGGCCTTTTCGCTTGGATGATCCTTCAGATGAGGAGGAAACTTCTCAGGTTTGTATTTTTTATACTTTAAAAAATATACTGTATAAATGTATAAATTTTCTGTATTAAAAAAATATGTCTAGATAATGGTTTTGAAGACTAAAATTCTGGTGAAGTAATCAACATCATTTGGATAGTGTGACCAGGCCTATAGTATTAACAGGGAACATTTTCAACAGTGTAGCGTAGCAATTTGCTACACAATTTTAGACCTAGGTCACATAAAATTGCCACAGTCATTAAAGCTTACATTCATATACCACCAAAATTTATTACCAACTATTGCTAATCAACATTTTGAGATGAAAATTTTCTCCGAGTAATGATATTTTATACAAACTATAAATATCTGCATTCAACAACAATAGGTTATTTTGGAAACCAGAGTTTTTTTTGTGATGTCAATAGTTTCAATAAATTTTTTAATGCAATTTTCATGGTTCTTCAAAACTTTTACACAGGTTTTTTGTTTTGTTTCCAGGTACCAAAGAAAAAAAAGCAGAAAATAGCACCAACAGAAACAAGTAGAAATATCTTGAAAGAAGTGGAGAAGCGCCAGACTGCGTCTACTAGTACGCCTGACACTCCAGCAACACATCCAGCGGAATGTCAATGCAAGAAATATGATCATTTGTTGGTAAAATATACCAACTTGAAGCAGAAATTTAAAGACACCAAGTTGTCAAAGATTTAACCACTTACAAGAATGAGGTTGTTAAAACAGGGAGTGTTGCTTCCTATGTTTCAAATGACCAGGAGGTTGAGCAAGGTGATCCATCTCCTGCACAGAAAGAAAAGGTCAAGCAGATGTCGAGGTAAAGATATATTTTTGGTTTTTTTTTTTTAAACTTGCAGGATATCGTGCAGTGCTAGTGTTTTTGTGTTTTGGATGTCTTGTTTTTAAACACCAAAAATTATTTCAGCATCACATAAGACTATTAGGAAGGGTCCAGTCAGAAGTACAAACAAGTTTTTTTTTTAATCATACCGACCGAATCTATTTCAAAAAGTTTTCTGTGCTTGGACAAAATAACTTTTTTTTAGGCTAATGGCTGTTAATGACATAATTTTATTGTTGGTTTGTTACAGGTTTAAAAGTTCTGTGTATGGTATTTTCCTCTTTATTTATTTTTTTTTAGGTAGATGTTGGACATGGTATCATCATGGAAAATTCCAAATTAATGGCAATCACTCAGGCTAGTGATGGGCCAACAAAACTAGCAAGAAATTTGTTTGTGGCACTTTTCCCTTTTGATGAAGTGATTGGAAAATCACTTACGGGCAAAAAAAGTAATGCACATAATTACAGCGTACAAAAGGAAAAGCTTGATCCAAACCGAATCGGTGCCATTCTTTGTATGTGTAGTTCTTTTCCATTTTTTTAATTACAACAATAGTTAAATGTTAAGGTGTAGTATGTAATCAATCACCTGTAGTTATTGTTGTGATTGTATAATTGGACTTAGGTTCTACTGTAGTAAGTCAACCTTTGACCTAATAAACAACAAAAGTCATCCATAATCACAGTACAATGTTGTATGTATATGAGGTAAAAAACTTAACCGCGGTGAAAAGTTTATGATTAATATGCAAATATACATTTGTATTTAATAAATTATTAACACTATATGCAATTACTATATCTATACTGTACAAAAAAGGACTTTAAATACGTTTTTAAAAATACTGTTAATTTATATTTAGTAGTAAGCTTTTAACTGTTGGCGGCGCTATTCCAGCATGGAATTTTCCACTGTATCAAATCAAAATGACATGAAGCACAGATAAGTTTCAGTAGCTTAAAAAAGACATTTAAAATATCTAGGCTTAGACAAATTACTCTCAGGTCTATAATTTACAAGGGCCCTGTGTACCTAGAGCTCCACAGATAATTCTGCTGCAGTGCTAGCTAGCTTCACTGACTGGGCCTAACCGCAAGATTTTTTACGTGGGCTGCTTCAAGAAATTCTGACTTAGATTTTGCAGTTCCTAGCGATGTATTGCCTCATTGATTTAATCCTAATATTTAGATTCAAGAGAAATTTGTTTGTTTGATACGTTATTGATATTGATGACGTCATCTGTCTTTTGAACCGTACGTAAAATGTAGGTTCTACTGTACTTGCTATGCAATTTTAGAATTGAATACCATTTTCTACAGACGATATTCCCAGGAAGCACACTTGAAATGTGGATCAAATTAGCACCTGTGTTAATACAAGAAAAAAATCCGTCAAGTGTTATTATACATTGTGGAACAAACAACATGAATGACTGTATGCCGATGGAATGCATCAAACTTATTAGTTTGTTGTGTAACTGTATCAGGGATGTTGACACATCTATCCATATAGCAATCTCTTCATTAATTATTCATCGAAATGCAGGTAGATGTGCATGGGCCAAGGAATTCAATGCAAGGCTACATGACAAGTGTAGTATACTCAACTGGTCATTTATAGACAACTCAAACATCAGTCTACAACATCTTGCCAAGGATGGGCTCCATTTAAATGGTTATGGCATTATACTGATCGCAATTAACTATATTGCTTTTTTAAAGGATTTTGCATACAACACCCTGCTAACCTAAAGCAATCTAAGCTAAAAAACAAAGGTGTAATAGTTGGAACATGTGCCGACTGTTTAAAGTACATAAGATCATGTGAATCACATATTTCTTGTAAATATTGCTCATTAGATTTTCATGTAAATTGTGTAATTAAGGATAAACATAACTAATAATACAGAGCTTACTATAAATGGGTATAATATTTGCAGACTTGATAGGAAAAACAAAATAGGAGGTGGAATTTTGTGCTATATTAAAGATAGTATTGCACATAAAATAGTAACAAGTAACATTTCTGAAAATGTTGAAAGTCTATGGATTGAAATGTCTTTACCACATACAAAGCCTTTTCTTGTTGGAACAGTTTATAGGCCCCCAAGTGCCAACATAGACTACATAACAGACATTGATAATTTATTATTAATTATTAATTTATTATTATTATTAATTATTTATTATTTATTTATTAATTTACTTACTTCGCAAATCTAAGAAAATAAAAGGTCAACCAAAAACAATAAATTCTAGGTCTTTTAAATTTTTTAATGAGAATGATTTTATTGACACTGTTAAAAAACAAGATTGGAATTTAGTCATGGAATGTTGTGATGTAGATAAAGCATGGAATATTTGGTCAAATTTATTTAATTATGCTTGCAGTAAACATGCACCCCATAGAATTAAGAGAGTAAAGACTTCCATGCCTGAATGGATTACTAAAGAATACCTAAAATTAACAAAAGATAGAGACTATTATTTTAAGAAAGCTCATAAAACAAATGACCCGGCAGATTGGAATAAGGCGAAAAGTTTGAGGAATCAAGCTAATAAACTAAATAGATCACTTAAAAAGAAATGTTGTACAGATGCTATAACAGCAAATACCACAAATTCCAAAAAATTGTGGGAAACCATTAAAAAAATTATTCCTGATAAAAAACAGGTCATTTCCTCTGTTAGGATGGATAGTGGACTTTCTAATAACGATAAAGATATAGCAAATAAATTTAATGATTATTTTTCATCTGTTGGTAATAATCTCGCTAAGAAACATAATTTATCTTATAAAACTAACACTGACCCTACAAACATTATTTTAAACAATTTTGAATTTGACATTGTAACTCCTGATTGTGTATTTGATATAATCAATAGCTTTTCAAATAACAAAGCTTCAGGCTTGGATGGTTTTGATGTTAAGCTTTTAAAATTAGCTGGTCCCATTGTATGTCACTCAATAAATTACATAATAAACTTGTCATTTATTACAGCAAAATTTCCTTCTGAATGGAAAACTGCTAAAGTTACCCCAGTGTTCAAAGGAGGCGATACATCCGACGTCGGAAATTACAGACCAATTTCTGTATTGCCTATAGTTTCAAAGATAATTGAAAGAATAGTACACAACAAACTTTATTACCACTTGTCAGAAAACAATATATTAAGTCCTTGCCAATCTGGTTTTAGATGGTTTGATAGTAATTTATTAACCCTCAACATTAGGAAAACAAAATTTATGTTATTTGGCACTAGAATATCTCTTAATAAATTTAATAATATTTCTGTTTGTATTAATGGCAATGATGTGGAAAGAGTTGACAATTTTAAATATCTTGGACTCACGTTTGATTCACTTATGTCATGGAAACAGCATGTTGAACAAGTTGTATCTAGATTATCACAACGTATTGGTATTATTCGAAGAATAAGATACTGTATTCCAAATTTTGCTTTAAGACTACTTGCTAATGCAATAGTATTACCCTGTTTTGATTACTGTAGTAATGTTTGGTCAAACTGTAACTTAGAACTTCTTAATCGACTTCAAATACTTCAAAATAGAGTAGCTAGAATCATTCTTTATGCTGATATGTACACCCCTATAACAGAATTGATGTCCCTACTAAAATGGAAGAGTGTTCATGACAGATGGGAACATGATTTGTTACTTATGCTGTTTAAATGCCTAAATGGTTTTGCATCATCTTTCCTAACAAATCTTTTCAAATTTATGGACACTTTTCACACAAAAAATACAAGAAGCCAATCAACCAATACTCTAAATATTCCAGCATGGAACAATATTCATGGAAAGAGAAATTTTAAGTACAGAACATCGATCTTGTGGAATAATCTTCCTGTACATATTCGCACAAATTTTAAGTTGCTTAGTCTAATTGAATTAAAAAATCTTTTATAATTTCTATTGTACATAGTTTTTACTTTAAATTTTTACCTTTCTTTTATTTTCTTGTAATGTTCCTATAAATCTGGACCTCTTGGGAGACCAGTACTTTATTGTATTGAAAGAGCCATTCAGAATAAAGAAAGATTTGTATTGTATTGTATTGTATTAATAAGAAAACTTATCGCTGCCCACGTTTTTGTGATAATGCCGGTGGGTGGCTTTAGACGCACTTAAATCACACACAAATCATTATGTTATAATGTTTACAGAATGTAACTTTTGTAATAACTTTCTCTTTCTCTTAGACTTTACAATAAAAAAGTATCCGTCTACACCAGCATCTCTTATCTCTTATATTCATTAAATTAAATTAAATTAAATTAATTAAATTGTAAATTAGGTAATGTTTTATAAAATTCTTATAAAAAGTAAAAATTCCAAGAAAGTATAATGCATACTCCAACAATTGAAGTACACGTCATTGTGTTGTGATTCAATATTTCGACATAACTAATGTTGAAAACGATGGTGTGTATTTCAATTCTTGAAGTATGCATTATACATTCTTACTTGAAATTAATCAGTAGACCTTTTGGTAAATATTCCAGTCTTTTATAACCTTGCCCCTTTCATATAATTATTGTGTATTTAGTCTTAGCTATTATTAAATTATTATTAATATTATTATTATTATTAACATATAATATACTAGAACTAATAGCTAAGAACTGTGCTATTATATAACATCTGTATCAGTATTAAATTAACAACTCTGTAGCTCACTATGCAATTTATTTTGTTTAAACTATTATTTAATATTATATTTTATATAAGGAAATTGAAATATACAGTATTAAAAGTAAGTAAGTATTAAAATAACCTTGCCACTTAGTTATAGTGTAATAATTATTTGCATGTCTTTCATATATTCTTGTGAATTGTTTTAAAATATGTGTTTTTATTTATTTTATTCATTTTGTCAATTAACAATACACAATAAAATAGAAACATTATAGACAATACTTGGAGCCAAGGAATTATTTTGAGTTTTCTGTAGACATCACAGTAATGCATCGGTTTTACTGCATTTGAAGTACAGTTGAAAATTTATTATTTCTACAATAGCATTCTTATTTTTTTTATGTATTTCTGTAGAAGTTCGTAATTTTCTATAGAATTCTATAAAAGTATACATTCTTTATATAATTCTATTAACATTTTCTATAGAATTCTATAAGAGTATACATTCTCTATAGAATTCAATTAACATTTTCTATTGAATTTTATATAAAAGTATACATTTTCTATAGAATTCTATAATATTTTCTATAGAATTCTATATAAAAGTATACATTTTTTATAGAAATCTTTAATAATTTTCTATAGCTTTCTGTAGAATTATTCTTATTTTCTATAAATTATTTTTAATATTTCTATAGAACTCTTTATAAAAGTGAAATTTGCCAAAAAAGGTAAGTGAAATCATGGTCCAGTTACTGTAGAGATGATTCCAAATTCATAGATAACATAATGTAGCCAGTATTATATGCATTCACAATGGTTGGTTTTATATGCTCAAATGTACATCACTTTGGTATGCTTGACCAGATGTTTTCATAGAACAATAAACTTAACTTAATTAGTTGTTCCTTTAGTTTAAACAGTAACACAGGGCTATTATGCTTATCAGACCATGAATTGACAGCTAGCTGTGTGTTATGGTATTAAAAAATTAAACGAGCAACCCACTACAATTACTCACTTCTAAATTTTATGACCTCACAGGATTCACTTGCATAGATCAATTTAAGACTTATTGGTCTTCAACAATCCAACAAGATTGTAATACCCCAGTTTTTATCAATTTACTTTATATGCACACTGTTGGATGTGTTGATACGTGCAGCTATTGAGGTTGCATCAGGGAGCAGTGTTCGGAGTGTTGCGAAGGAATTCAATATTAATAGCAACAGCTTTGTATCCTCTGACAGGGTTAGGATTTTGTTCTCATTTTAAAATAAAACGTTTCAATGTCATTCTATACAAAGCTGTTGCTATGAAGAAAGCTGTTTTCCCTTCAGAAATGGAGGTGGACTTGTCGAATCACATAAAATGTTTAGCAGACATGTTCCATGGCTTGTCGTTGCAAAAATGCTGCATTCTTGCGTACAAATTTGCATCGCGCAATGGGCTACAAATTCCAGAAAGCTGGGAAAAGAACAAGAAAGCTGGAAAAGACTGGTGGCTAGGATTTCGTTCGAGACAACATCTTGCCATTCGAAGTCCAGAGGCAACATCTTTTGCCCGTGCATCAGCGTTTAATCGACCAGTTGTCGACAAATTCTATGACAATCTTGCATCTGTGATGGATAAGTACAAATTTCAGGCTGAAGACATATATAACTGCGATGAGACGGGCTGCACCACAGTACAAAATCAAAACAAAACAAAACAAAACAAAAAAACAAAAACAAAACAGGTGGGATCAATCACATCTGCAGAACGAGGAGAGCTGATTACTGTGGTATACACCATTAGTGCCTCTGGGAATGTCATTCCACCCCTGTTTATATTACCAAGGGAACATTTTATCAGAGGATCACCCGCTAGCTCAATTGGTCATGCCACACGATCGGGGTGGATAAATGAAGACATATTTGTTGACTATATAGAACATATCATAAAACATACTCGATGCTCACAGGAACACAAAATTCTGGTGATCCTTGACAATCATGAGTCCCATATTTCACTTAGAACCATTGACATGGCGAAGGCTAATGGTATTGTTCTGCTAACCATACCATCTCACACCTCACACCGACTCCAGCCGTTAGATCGGTCTGTGTACGGACCTTTTAAAAGTGCATATAACCGAGCTATGGATGGGTGGTTATGATCCAACCCTGGGAAAACAGTCACTATTTATGACATACCAGCACTGGTAAATGAAGCACATATGTCGGCTATCACACCAAGGAATATTCTGGCAGGCTTCCAGAGCACAGGCATATACCCATTCAACAGGGACCTGTTCACAGACCTTGATTTTGCACCGGCGGCAACCACAGATCGCACAATGGAGGTCAACCAGGATGTGGATGGCAAGGCAAATAATGATGAAATACCCAATGATGCTCCTCATTCTGATAATGAGATTGATCATCATCAGAATTCTGATGATGTGATTGATCGTCCCTCAGTAGGCCTATCTAATCCAAAAACAAATGTGCCTGGTCCAGCAGATCATTTAGCTGAGCTTCCTTGTGGATCGGGTAGTGATGGATATATATCGCCGGATGCAATCCTTCCTGTACCACAAGCCGGTCCTAGGAAAAAAAATACTAAGCCAAGAAAGAAAGGCAGTACCAAAATTCTCACAGACACTCCTATTCGAGATGAGATTTTCTTGAATCAACAAAATAGAAAAAAGAAAACAGCGAAGACTACTACAAGGAAGACATTATTCAAAAAACATGGACCAAAGAAACCAGAACCTGTTGAGCTCACCAGTAGTTCTTCAGAATCAGATGTTGAATTTGATGATGAATCTGATGATGTAATGTCTGATGAAGAGATAGAGATAATCGAGGGTGATTTTGTTGTGGTTAAACTTCCAGAAAATCTTGTATTTTGCATTACATAGCCCGCGTCCATGTAGTCGATGGTGATGACTATGATGGAATTTTCTTACAGAAAGTTCCTAGTTGTGTAGATTCTGAGAACCCTGTTTTTGTCCCAAATTCAGAGGATACAGCTTCTTTCTCAAAGGACGATATAGTTGAAAAACTTTATCAGCCAAACATTGTTGGGGGATCCGCCAGACGCTCTGGTCAGCTAATGTTTAAACAAAACCTAAGCAAGTGGCACCTAAAATAAGTTGCCTGGAGCATTATACCTAAAATTCTTTTATAATGTTTCATTAGGGCTGTGCAGTGTTTACATTGTTTAATTCATAGTTGGAACAACTTACCCCATCACATGGAACAACTTACCCCACCGATGGGGTAAATTGAGCAACTTGACATAAATTTTCTTATACCTCATCAATACACTAGGGAGTGATGGTACATTCTTTATATTGTCCACAAATGTAGAGCATGAACTGGTCTATGAAATGTAATATTCATCCTTTTGGTTCTAGTAATAATTAAGGTCAGGGGTCAACATTAACAAAATATGGCACATCTTACCCCACTCTCCCCTACTGTTACGGTCGAAATTCACCTAATGAACGTAATGAACCAAGCAAGATCAACAATTAGATGTACTTTACAACATTTATTCATGACAAAACCGTATAACAAACCTAAAACAAATAAACATAATATATACGAAATTGTTAAATCATTTATGAAGTAGAATATAAATGTACATGTATATGTATATGTTTAAACAGAATTTAAGATTGATGTTGCTAATCTATGTAGCCTTGGTCATGTAATGAACATGTTTTTATCGGGTATTGAGAGATAGACATTCCAAAAAGGTGGTTCTGAAATCTATAGATCATAATCATCATCATCATCATCATCAAAGTCTTGATTGAAGTCTTCTATTGATTCTACAGCAGGTAGGTTTGTATTCTGGCAATCTTTACATTTGCACAAGTCAGTGCAAGGCAGGTTTGAGCCTAAACAAGAACATCTTCCTTTTTGGCATTTACCAACTTTACAGCTGCAATTAACTGACTGTAAAAGTACTTCTGGAGCAGGTGCATTTGTCATCCATGTGATGGTAAGCAGATCCTCTGTCATTTGCCATCCATGGCCAACTGGGGATGGGGCACTAATCCACTGTACACAGGATCTCCTATGAATAGCAGCCTGGTAATTACACCGTTTACAATGTTGAATCATTGCATCCTTTGTTGGTGGTAGGCTCTGTTCCGATGCTGAGGATAAACAGAAAATTTTGTACCTGGCATCATTAACATTTGTAGTAACCTGTCCATAGAGCTTGCATACAAATGTTTCAAGGTTTGAGATGGTTTCTTGCTTTAAGTCAAAGTGCCTGCCAAGATCTGTAAATGCATCTAAATAATCTGTATTCTCCTGAGCAATTGCAAGTGCTTTCTTTTTACCTTTACTATAGAAAGCACTTGTTGAGTCACATCCAGTGAAAATATGGAGTCCGATCAAAGCTTCTCGAACAGAAGGATTATACACAGATGCAACTTTCTGCAGATCTATGATTCGACTTTTCCTCCCTGTACCAGTCAGAAAGAAAAGATTAGAAGCTAATTTATCCATAAGTGACAGTGCTATTATGCTTACATCTGTGTCTGGGCTTCTGATGATTACATCTTTGCAATATTTAGAAGCATGCTTTGCATGAAGAAGTAACCGTGTATCTGCTTCCTCATGGTCACACTTTAAGTCATCACATGGCCACGATGTACTGACACTATTTTTGTTTTCCAGAATGTGACACTCCTCACCATGTGTAAAATATATTGCGATGTCATACACAAGCTTCAAATTAACATCTTTCCAGACAAGAAAAAGAAATTCAACGAGGGCTTCCTTGTTGGTTCCATCAGACAGAAACTTTTTCCATTGTTTTGGAGTCTTCTGGTCCTTGCTGTAAATTTGAACCTTCTGTGTTCCACTCTCTGCCCTCCGTAAACGCTCAACATTTTTAATGCTTATAGAAGGATATCTGTCAGTAACAAAGTCTACACGTGAGCATTTGTATTTTGCAGCAAGATTGATGATTTGTTTTAGAATATCATCAGCCAATTCTCCAAATGTTTTGGGGACATCCCGTATGGACTGGATTAATGCCATTCCATCAATCATTAATGCAGCATTTTCTGGAGGTCTATCAATTAGACAATCACCAGCTGTCATTTCAATGGCATGAAGTAGAGCTGACTTGTTAGTCTTGGCAAGTGATCCATCAAAGTTGGCCAGTGGAAATGACACATTACCAAGTGAATATGACAATATCTCAGGCAAATCAATTTTACGGGTCTGTCCAGCAATCAGTAGACGTGCAAATAGTTTTCTGTCACTTTTTGCGGAAACTGCTTTTCCAGATTTAGTTCGTAGCAGTTGGTTGTTCTCTGAAAAAGTTTTTAACTTCATATTCTTAATGGGGGCATGCATGTCAAATTCATTGTCAATTAGACAACCTTTGATGTAGTTAGTTGCTGCTTCTTCACCTTGATCTAAGGCCTTGCTTAGATCGTTTTTAACTGCATCAGTTGCAACGACTCCAGAGCTAAAGCATACCAACTCGTCATTTGAGGAATCAAAGGGGTTAACCATGCTGTCGAGAGTGGACATAATTGCCATCACCGCATTCGTATCTCTCTTTGTCTTTGACTGATCTAAGTCTTTGGGCTTCCTGCCATCAGTAAATACCCCTCCCATCATCTCACACTGTCTTGTGATAGCGGCTCGCTGTGGTTGGGATAAAATCCATCTCTGCACTGCTCCACGGTTTAGAGTGTAGCTAGTAATTCCACCATTTGTCTTGGAATCCCGATTACATGTTTGTTCAATGGCCTGGTCACATGCAATTGATGCAAATGGGTGCCTTTGTTGCCGCTGCACAGTCCATTGTCCAGTTGTTGACAATTCTTTGTGACACTCTGGGTGCGAGTTGGGCAAATTCACCATTTCCAACCAGTAGGCAGGAAGATATCTGGCGTAATTCATTCTGTCATAGGCAAAGAACCATGGCATCATATAACGAAGAGCAGCCAAATGCAAATCCCAATCTGACTCACGTGTTGCTCTTATGAATGTCAGAAGTATCTGAACCATATCAATGTATGAGTTCCACAGGCTAAAAGTTGGACATGATTCACCTTGCTTGGTTATGAAGTCATCATACTCTGTCATGAACAGGTTTAGTTCTTCAGAGCACAACATTTCATTGAATGATTCCGAAGTGTACAATTCTTTCACATTAACTATTAGTTTGGCATATTTATGTGCCTCTGTAGCTGGCAACGATTCAAGGAACATAATTAACCTCACTCTCTGAAGAGCTTCAAATAGAAGTTTATGAGCCCTTATGCTCCTATTATAATGGTGGCCATTTAGAACCCCATTAATCGAACCAGGTGCAATTATTTCCGCTTCTATCAACAAGTCATGCAACCCAGCATCTTTAAATCTTCGGCCAATCACACCTAAGAATGACATGCAGGTGTGTAGTTCACCTAAACGTATGACAGTACGTTGCTTGTACTCTTCATTGTTCCAGCGAATCTCTTGGATTTTAGCATAAATTGCTTGATCAAAAACCAACACAACATGGTCAACCTCAAGACGGTCAGCCATAGCAAGACTCTTCTCCAGGATGGTTTTGACAGTATTCATTTCTGTTGGTGAAGCTTCGATTACTGGCAAATAGTGAATGGCTGATTGCTCCAGAGTCATTTCACCCTTAACTACCATATTAAAACCAGTCCATCCGGGAACTGTAACAGGTTCTTCATCAGCATACTTTGCAAATATAAATGCTAGGTCTGTCCTGAATGCTGGAAGAAGCTTGGGCTTATAAGTGTTCTTGTTTAGTTGTGACTGGTGACCAAGCTTCTTCGGACCTTGCCTTTTTGTGCGATGGTAAATTTCCAAAGTTGAAGGAGCTGGCTTAAAAGAGCGAATGCCTTTCCTGATGGTTACTGTGTCTGATCTGGAGGTTAACTTACAAATTCTACTCTGCAACATTATGCCATTTGTATGATGTGTTGTTCCATGACCTGACAAGGTTTCCTCACCAAAATCTATATTGTCCCAAACGAGAGTGGTTGGTGTGTGCTTAGCAAATCCGTTTGGAATTGCATTAGTATTTAACAGCTGAAGTTGGGCAAGGCTGGTTTCCAAACCAAGAATTGTATCCCACGAAGCACAATGACCATACTTGTTTAACAATTTTAAAACCTGAGATGATCCTGTCAGATGTCTGACAGTCAAACCAAGACCAAGAGACTTTGGAGTTTGCTTTTTCCCCTTTGATGTAAGGTACACAATATCTTGACAAATTGATAAAAGTTTCAGGTGGCTTTCACTTGAAACATCAACGTATGATGTCAGGGTTGGTTCATCTGTGGCACGGACACACCAAGCAATTAAGTTATAGAGTTGAAATGGAACCATCTCCTTGACTGCATCAAGGTTAATATCTTCAGCTGTTGGGGGCCATGGGGAACTCATAGTGGGTGAAGCTTTTATAGCATTATACACAATGGTACCTGCATTGTAAATTGTTCTTTGTTTTTCTTGATCCATATGAGACAATTTAGGCCTGATTTCTTCCGACTCATTTTCTACTTCTGAGCTGTCAACAGGAGATGATTCCTCCTCAGAGGTGGAAAGAAGATCCAGAACATTACCGGTAGTCAACTCCTCTGTAAACACCATCTCAGCTTGATTTCTACGATATGGTTTATGGAAGCATAACTGTGGAAAGTCCTTCCTTAAACGGTACTTAAGTTGATCAGTTCTGAAAAATATAAATTACATTATATTTAAATAAAATTCAAGTTAAAGTTTTAGCCTCAACACAAGAAATATTTCATAGTTTTTTTGTATATTAAATTTACATCTTATTTACCAATTTGGCTATTAATTGCTTTTGCTAATAGTCTATTTACACATAATAATCTAACTATTTAATGCCATGGTTTCCTAATACTGCTATAAATAATTTCAGAATTTCTAACTTTTTTAAAATTGTGTTTTGATTTCTTAATATTTCTTACCTGTAATTTGTCATTTCAAGGCCTTCATGCTTCTTAACAATTTTTGAAAACAACTGAAGTAACTTGGTCATCCTTAAAATCTCATGGTTCTTGATAATTCGTTGCTGGATGATTATCTCAGAGAAAATTTTGTACGACTTGTCATATTGGTGGTCCTCATCGGTTCTAAGCAGATAAATAAGGGCAAATTGTTAGATTTTCACTCCCATCCGCATCAAAGATTTGGGGAATATTGATGCAGGAATTAAAAAAAAACATTTTTTACCGCATCAATTATTTTAACAGCTTAAAAAAAACAATGCAATTTTGTGACTGGAAGTATACTTTCTTTAAAAACCAATAAAATTAAATTATTTTTTACACAATATGTACAATATTCTTTGCCAAATAAAAACAGACCCTCCCCAGCTA